CACAGCAACGTGAATGCGTCCACTCCAGCATGCTTTTCTTGTTCTGTTTCAGTGTCACTCATGTTCCAACCGAGCACTTCCCTTCCTCTTCCCCGTATCTGTAAGGAAAGCATTTCCGCAGCAAGATGCTGCCTCAGCCATGTTTCACTGTAGTAGTGTTGAGTTTAGGCTATTATGAAGAGGTAGTTTCCACTTTGTATAAGATAGATAGCTATAAAAATTACATTTCCATAATTTCTGTGTGCTCTGATACACTTTAAATGTAACTTTTACCTTTGAATAAACAGTCTTACTGTGCTCTGTGAGATGTTACAAGCTTAGTATATACTATTATATACTATTTGCACATATCCACAATCAAAAAAGAATAGGAAAGGCATCTTGTGGTAGTGCAATAAACGTATTTTGTTTCATAGCACAGCAGCCGACTACTCTGGCTGTTCATTGCGTTCAGCAGAGGTGCAGCCTGGGGAGAAGAAGCTCTCTGCCGTGGCTGGTTTTTGCAAGCAGCACTCTGCAGTGCTGCTTGTTTGGACGATATTTATGATTGGCTTCAGTTGAATACAAATGCATGCCAAGCTTTTCACCCCAGATTTCTATTAATAAAATATTAAATAATCCACGTGTCCTTTTCCCTCTACATACGTCAGAATTATGAATCGCTACATGTTGGTCTTTTGCTCGAAATCCCAACAAAATGCAGTGAGTTTGATGGTTGTGGCATAACAATATACTGAAATTTGGGGATTTATTATGGACCAAAAAAAAACAAAAACATGAGAGGAATTTCTTCATCTCCAGATCCCTTCAGCTTAAAAGGTATTAGATATGAGGTAATGGCACCTACAATCATTTACTAACAAAAGAACAAAGACAAGGCCCTTCTACTTTGTTTTCAATCCAAATCAGGCATTAAGTGATGCTTTTTAGATTCAGCATGAACTCCACAGCAGTCCATCCAATGGTTGCTAAAAAAAAAATGTCAGCAGGAATGTCAGCAGGGACAGCTTACTCCCTATTTGTTTAGCTGCCAAAGCAATGCTATAAATATCTGCTCACTTCAAATATTTGCTACAGTTTTAATATTACATGCCTGCTGCAGTGTTTATAAAACTTAATTACTACCTGCAGTTCTTAATCAGATATGTAAGCATAATTATAGACGGAGACAATACTAAACTTTAGGAACACAATAATATAGCTCGGAGACTAGATTTTGTTTGTTTTTGACTTCATGTTTGTTGTTTGGGTATGTTTCAGACTGAATTTGCACAAGATGCAAAATATTTCCAACGTATGCTCCTCAACACATAAAAATCTATTGTTAAACTAAAGTTTGTAGAACTTCACAAAGGATTGGAGGATCTCATTGTAGAAAGGTATCAGTCAGGAGACTGAACATTTTTCCAAAACTGACGAAAATATGAACTGTTCTTCCTTTCGTTGATGATCTTGCATTTCTGTCTCCCAAAAACTAAGAATTATACTGTCTAAAAAAAAAAGGAGAAGAAGAACGATTAATGTCCACCTCACTGCCCTGTTTATTCTTGCCCTGCAGCAGGAAGAAAAACGATAGCTGTAACAGGCACTGCACATTTCTGGACATATGAGTGTTCCAGAAAGCAGAAACATTGCAATTTGCATACACTGCATGAATCTCAGAGCAAGGATTTAAATAAGTCGCTTTTACATCATTCTTATGGCGCCAGCGTGATCTAAATCCCCTGTCAGTAAAGAAGTGATTTTCCTTATTCTCACATCTCTGTTTTTGCAGTGGAAGGCAGATGAAAGGATGCTTGAAGGACGATGTTTCAAGTGATACTGTCAGGCCCGCTGATTGGTTTGACACATGGCTCATCTGGGTCCACATCCACCTGCATAAGCTAAGTGCTTCCCATGAAAAAAAAAGGATTTAGAAGATATTTCATCTGTCAGCCCATGAAGAAGACGACACTTTTAAAGATGCATTTTTTTTTAGTTCACTTAGCTTTAAATGGTGATTATTTTTAGAGGTAAATATGTGGATTTGTTTAGCTCCATTTTTAGTGGGGGCGGTTCATTCAGTGGTCATTGATCACGGCCTTGTCAAAGAAAAAGTTTAAGAAACACTCGCATGTAAACTCTTTTAGAAATAAATGCACCTCTCGAGCCTTTTTCCCCATTTATTTGTATAGCACATTTCAGCAGGAAGGCATTTCAAGGAGCTTTACATAATTAAAAACAAAATAAAAACAGCATGTGACATTGAATAAACAGTAAGAAAGGGAAAGATATTTTGGTAAAATTACTTTTGTTACGGAATTTAAGCGCCTGTCATCGCTGGACTCCGCCGTCCGTTTAACACGGGTATTATCCAGGCCCCGTCGCCTAACAGGACAAGGTCTCCAACCTTGCAGCACCAGGCTCCGTCCACCTATCACACAAAGTTTTGCGCTAGGACTTCACCATCCTACACGGATTTTTGGGCCCGTCTTAAAAAAAAAAAAAAAAAAAATCATCATTTACATCATTAAAATTTTAGTGAGAACGCGAGCAGCAGCGTTCTGCAGCTGATCCAGAACGCAAGTATAGCTACTCTTTAAAGGTTCTCCAGTTTATATTTTGAAGGTTTTACAAATAATTTATCCATACAACTGAACAGGAAGAGGATAGTTAATGTCTGCGTGTTTCTGCTCACAAAAGACAACCCTCATCCGTCCTCCTCTGGGTTTCATTGCGGACGTAATCTAAAAATCAGTTTTGTCTCCAACACAATGAATGGTGGAAGATACAGCATTCATTGAATAGTCTGTGTGAATAAAATGGAAACCCCGAGACTTAAAAGATTTTTTTTATAAAAACAAATCTGATTCAAACTTATGAGATACCCAGAATTAAAAAAAAAAAAAAAAAAAAAAAAAAAGAGAAAAAAACAATTTCACAAGAATACTACACAGGAGAATTACAACTCTCATAATAGAGAAAGATGCACAGAACATTTTTAGGTCGTTACCTTACTTCAGTTTCTTACCTAAAGGAATGACCTCGACTTGACCTCAATTACAAACCTTAACTCAGCTATTATGACAACAAGCTCCATACATCTGCTAAATGCAGCAGAAGAAAAATCAAACTGTGACACCAATTATGTCCTCGTTTATACATCACGTCCCCCGACCAAGTGTAGAAATTACCCCTCCGACCACACAACGTTCAGCTATTGAGTTTGTGTGAAATGAAATCCTCGCCTGAGCAGAGTTCAGTTTGACTTTAATTTTCCAGCTGTTGCATAGACCCACTTTTTGTTCATGATGTTGCAGGGCACGGGAGATGGGGGAGGGATGTAGAGCGTGAAGACATTTAACAGGGAAGTCAAACATGCAATACACAAACCTCACTCGACATTCATTTCTTCTCTTTACAACCGCACATTACGTGCCGACTGCAAAAAGAAATAAATAACAGGCTTTGAATGTGTTGTAAACATCTTTTGACAAAGTAATGATGTCATTACCTTGTAGATTACTTTGAACTCAGGAAATTACTTCTGTGTTTTTATTTTCTTTTATATTTAACGATTTGTCATTTGTATCAACCACCTGATGAGCATCGTTGGTGACGCAGCTAAAGTAATGATCTGTGAGACTCTTAGGTCGTTCCAAGAAGTCATAAATCATAAAATGTAAAATCGAATTTGCTTAAAAAGATAACATACTGAGATTTACGGTAATATATCAACACAAAATAGTACATAACTGTGCAACTGAAGAAAGTATTGGTGGAAGGTATTATGAAATTGCAATTGAATATTTTAACCAGTAATTGTATTCAAGTTGGTATTTGCAGCCTCCATTTGCAAGAACCCAATTCAATTTGACCACAACTGAAGTCATGTTTTAATAACATCGAAACGTAAATTGAGTAGACGCTGCATGACTCGTAGATCTTACTTAACATTTAGTGCACATAACTTGACAGTTTTCATTATTCAGTAATTGTTTTTTTTTTAATTATAGTTTACAGCAAAGTGTCCATCTTGTAATAGAGCTTTGTACTCTGCAGCATTCACTCAGAAAGTTTTGACAAAGAAATACCAAAAGTTCAACAAGACGAGCATGTAGGAAATCTCAAAGAAGAAAAAAAGAACAGGAAAAAAAAAAAAACAGAGATGCCTAATGTGATTCTAGGGAATTTAAGAGCATTAAACACTGTGGCGCAATTACTTCCATGCTGGGAGTGTTTGTCACAGATGAATAAATGAGGGTTAATTTGAATGCAGCGAGGGGAATCTACATCAGCAATGAAATCAGCATGAATAATGGAGTAAACAAACATGAACGGTTGGACTCGATGTATATTTAATGCATCCTCTTGTTAGGTAGCAGGGACATGGCTAGATATTTTTATTTTTTTTTATCGGGGGGTTCCAGGGGGCAGGGAGGGGCACAAACTGTAGAAGGGTGGCACACTACATTTGGAAATTCATCTGTAAATCCCCCTAAACTTGATCGTCCATCTAATCTGACTGGTCCAAAAGTCTTGGCCATGCAGGGAGGACAGGAACCATGGACAGGAACCATGGACAGGAACCATGCTTTTTAGGCTTACATATTTGGAGGAATATTAACACTGCATGTCACCATGAACATCCCACTGGAGCGCAGTCAAGAGCTAGTATATACCATGAACACCCACATATCGATGTTACTTTTGAATACATAATTAGTCTAATATGCATAGAAGGCTAATTATAATACAATTCATTCAAAGCTTTTATGCATTTTTTTTTACCTTCATTCTGTTGATGTCGCCTTGTTTTTTATTTCACTTTTCAGCTTAACTAACTTGACATCTCAGCCCACTTCCACTGCTACTCCACTTCTACTTGTCTTTTCCTCCTTTCTTCCCCCCTCTCACTCTTTTAGTCCCCTCTCCTCCTTCTCGTCTCTCCTGCGTTTGTCTTTGTCTTGAGTGGAACAAGAGTGAGCTCTCTAACCGAGCCCCGATGGGTCGGATTGACTTCACATCCTCTGGGCCTTGTGACTCAACAGCAGCGAGCAGAAAAATGCAACGTTCTTTCCACTGGAAACTAAATGGGCCCAGATGTACTGGAGGAGAGGCAACCAAACGGGCAAGTGGTGGCGAAGATGGGGACATGAAAAGGACATGAAAGGACAGCGTGTCTTGCATTAGTTGGCTATAAAAAGAAAGATTATAGTGCAACCAGAAGAAGCAAAGACAGAATTACCCCAATGAGTCACAGGTAACTAAAGTTCATTTCAGCATTGTTAAATTTGTTGTTAGGCATTTATTTTAATTTTTTTTTTTAGAGCAACATTTAAAAAAAAATAATAAATCACTGTGGGGATTTTTGTAGCATTTCTGTAGTAAATGGGACTACACTTAGAACAGTCTCAGACTTACAGAGAAAATGTTTTTGTTTTTTTTTCACAAAGTTTGCTTTTTTCCATTATTTTTTGCTTTTGTGTAAATGTTTCTGCTTTTTGCATTAATTTTCATTTACTTTGCAATTAGCTACCTTTTGCTACATCCCTTTTCACAGCACCCTTGCCTCAATGCAAGACGCCAAAACCTAAAGCAATAAAGTTCTCAAGAAACCTTTGGCAGTATAAGTATTCTAACTTCAGCTGGATCAGCCAGGTTCCTGCAGCTTTTCACAGTCAAAAGTTTATCATGTATCTCTGGCAAATTAATTATATCCGACATCTCAAAATATGGATGTGGATGATGGGTGTCACCTCAGAACTGTGACTACCTCCTGGTATAGATATGTTCTTCTTGTTGTTGTTTAGAAACTACAATGACTACAAATTAACTTATTTTGTGATGACATGTGTTCAAGGCACTGTTTTCAAGATTCCTCTGTACAGAAAATACATTTTCGAGGATGCTTAAACCGCACAGGTTTAAATCTATAATTGTTCTTTGACTAACTTTGAAAGTATCTGAAAAAAAGAAAGAATAATTTTTTCCACGATAAATATTAGTATCGCTAGATTCGTACTCCCAAAAAGTTTTTCCTCAGACCTTAAAGAATGACGTGTTGACCTTTGAGCTGCAGACACTTCAAGAGCTGGTGGCTGCCCCTGAGACGATAACTGCCGGTGTGTTAGTGTCTCACTGTAAACTGAGTTGACAGAAGCTGCGGCGTCTGCTGAGAATCCAACTTTCATGACCACCTTTTTCTGGAGGCTTTCAACCCATTCAGGCGTGCCTCCACTGCCTCCTTACCTGAATCGCTCTCGTCGTGTGCATCAAGCTGTCAAACACACACACACACAAAAAAAAACAAAAAAACAAGTATGATGTTTTGACCATTAATGTCTCGCAGTCAGGCGTCGCGCGAGTCAATTTCGTTAAAAGAAGTCACCCGTGTCTGTTGGCATTCCAGCACGTTTCCATCTCCAAAAAGTCTCCCTATTGTTTGTTTTCTACTCTTAAGCATTTCAAGTTTCTGCCATAGGCAGATAATAACACTAGAGATTGATAATGTTCGCAGGTGTTTATGTTTCAGCGTTCCACCTGTACTTTTAGGTACTTTGCAGTGTTGCAAATTTTGTGAAACGTCGTCTGTGACTTCAGTTTTTGTGATTAAAAAGCTACGTTTTGGTAATACCATAGAATCGGACGTGGATGCATTTCTTACAAAAGTTCATTGAATTGAGAGGTTTACCAACCTAACCCCATCCAGATCATCTAAATGTCAATGATTATTCCTTACAGCTAACGAAAACACTACACTTCTGTTTCTCAGCTAATTAAAATATCACAGCGGACAGATTAAAAAAGATCTTGAATCAGAATTGTTATGTTGCAAAGGATATTGACTCAACAGTTCTCCAGCACACAGTCAGTAACATCCTCCTCTGGGAAGATAAGTCACAAAATGCCATTACCAAAAAAAAAAAAAAAAGCTGGCTGTTCACAGAGTGCTGTATCCAAGCCTATTGATGGAAAGTTAAGTGGAAGGTGTGTAAGCAGGGATAAGTGCAGGCTTCAGGGGATTGTGAAAACAAAGGAAGAGGTTTACAAGATGTGTTGGCATGTGAACAACTGTCACACTCTCCAGTTTGAATTGTTGATGCAGGGCAAGGTAGATTCCTGCTTTTATGTTGTTTATACCAAATCATGACCGTGTCATATGGATGTTAAATTCAGATTTATGAGATCAGAAAATCTCTTTTCGACCTATTATTGTTTGATTTTGGTGAGCCTTTGTGTATTGCTCACCTATTCTCTCGACATAAAACGATGTATATTTTTAACGTATTGTCCACACAGCTTCTCTATAAACCTGAGATATAGTTTAGCATGAAAATCACAGCAGATCAACATATTTTTTTAAAAATATACCCAAACCAGCTTTTCTGGCACCAAAATCACCATTTTTTCTCATTCTGTCAAAAGGTTCAAGCTTCAACAAGTCTTCCTCAGCACATCTGCATCCCTAGTTGAGTTGCTGCCATTGGATTATCTTTATTAAACCATATTATTTGAGATTGTTTATTTAATATTAGAATACTACGTAAGACCAATAAAACCTATTTTTAATATAGAAATGTGGTACTAAGTAAAAGTGTTCAAGACCTGCTTATGAAATTTAATGAAATGATATCAGACTTGTGTTAAAGGTTATTTTCAAAAGGTACTTTAATGTGACAAACAAGCTTAATAGGAAACACATATTTAATTTGTTGAATATAGCAGTTTTTTATAGATAAACATGTGGAAAAATGTCCATATCTGTAACTAAGGTGCACAGACCTATAAGCGTAGGGACAGAAAAACCCTGTGGTATTTTCAGAAGCATTTTTTTCGCTGCCTCGGATAAGTTGAACTCATCTTATCACCTTCTTTATCCTTATGTAACCTGTTCAACTGTGATATCATTCACACACACGCACGCACACACACATTTTTCTGTAAGATTTGATCTTCTACAAGCCTTTATCACTTCTGAAAGCACAGCGTAACGCTGCCAGGTGACGAAGGTGGCTTCAGAAATGTAGAATAGAATAGAATAGAATAGAATAGAATAGAAACAGGCTTTATTGTCCTGTGAAGGGACAATAAAGAGAAAACAGAGAAAAAAATGTAAAAATCAGATATTACTTGTAAAAAAAAACAAATATCCATTTTACTTTATTATTCTTGCAGAGTATATGAGGTTCAGTGACAATCACTTTTGAGCAGATCTTCTGAGTAAAGAAGAATGTGCAAGTATTTCAATCTGTAGATGTGTAAACGGAATTACAGACAATTCCCCCCCCCAAAAAAATCACTGTTAGCTGTACTTGGAGCGACATGCGTCTCACCAATGTATAAACTCATGGGAGGTGAATAAAAATGCACGCCACCCTTTTCAGATTTTCATTTAGTTTTATTTTATTTATTTGTTTTTATTGAAAAGTGGGGACCATGTACTTTCCCCAGCAATAAAAAGGAACATGTTTTGTTGGTCTATCACATAAAATTCATTAAAAACACCTTGATTATAATCTCTAATAAGTTTGATGGAGACACAGTCAGACAAACAAAAAAAGGGGGGGGGGGGGAACTGTATGAACTATGTAGAATGGAGTGAACTCCATTCATACAGTTCATTCATACAGATGATACAAGGAAACTTAGGTTGAAATATCCTTGTTTTTTTTTTTTTTTTTTTTTAATTTTTTTTCATTTTCCATTGCCCTTCACAGTTATGCTCTACTTTGTGCTGTAAAATAGCAATACAACACAATGACGTTTGTGCTTGAAATGTGACAAAGTGTGGACAAATTCCAGGAGTACCAATATAAAAGGATTAGCCATGGATGCCTTTTTTTTTTTTTTGCCTTTTCTCTCATTCAGTGCGCCTCCTAGAGCAGAACGTAGTGCTGAGTTTCTCAGTGCTCAGAGAAGGGAAAAGATGCGCCTGAGAATCAGATTGCTCCTGGCTGAGCGGTCAAAAGGGTGGGACTGGTTAATTACGGGGCCATGGCTTCCCCCCGCCTGCAGTACGTTATAAATGAGAGCTGGAGGTATCACAAACCTTGAGATGTGTGTATTTGGTTCCTTGGTTGTGCTGTTGGGGTCTCATCGTGGTGCTTTGTTAATTTGTGGAGGCAAGCGTTGCCAAAATAACCCCAGCTCCATTTCAAAAGAACAAGAGAAGAGTTTGTGGTTTGTTCTGATTTTCCCAGGATGTCAGCTTTGTGAAACCTGCTAATCACAACCTCTACTTTCTTGCTTTGCCTTTGAATCACCTTCTTCATGTTCCACGAACTGATTTGTTTTTCAGACGATGAGAAGCTAAGCACTTCCTGCCGCTCTGCTTTCCTTGTTGAGGTCATCCTTGATGATAGATGGGATGTGTACGCATTAACTAGACCGGGATGTACCACACAGAAATTGCTATCCCCCCCAAAAAAAATCTCATTGAGTAACCAGGTGTGCATCGGGACTGGAGTCGGTGGTCTAAACAGAGATTGATGACAGTTTGGAGGGCAGGAGAAATCAGGCTTAAGAAAACAGCCGGATCAGGTGCAGGACAGAGAACGTCATCATTTTTGCAGTTTTTTTTTTTTTTTTCACCTAAAAATTACTTTACTAATGAAAGCTACAGTTACTCTCTTCCAAAACATTGTGTAATGTCATAGTTGGCGGAGAGGTTTAGCGAAAGAAGAGCTACATTCTATGGAGGACGAAAACCTAGAATTAAAATTAAAAGTAGGAATTTGTAAATAAGAAAACACTTGTGGGAAAAGCAGCTTTTTGACTAATTCTGGTGTATTTAGGGAAATGTTAACTGATGTGCATTATGTCTACAAATTAAATTAAATTAAACAAATAAATCGATACACTTTATAAAGGAGAGTTTTATCTCACCTTTATGAATTAGTATATTTTCTTTTTAGCGTAGTTTTGTCAAATAACATACTTAAGCACGTAATGTGGCTTCTACTGTTTCATGTTTCTCATTGTACTCATATGTGCATTTACGTCTCTTTAGTGATTTATTTATTGTTTTTTTTCCCACAGGTGTTTTAATTTCAGGCTTTTTCACATTTTTCTGTCTCATTATTTTGCTTTCTATTATGCATTTCTGCCTCAGTGTGCAAATGAGGAGTCACAGTGTCTTAAAGCTGCAGTACGTAACTTTTATAAAACTTTCTTTTTTTACTTGTTGAAACTGTCATCATGCTGTGACAGTACGCTATAAAACAGGTAAACTGTGAAAAAAAATTGCGCTTCTGTCTTCTTCCAGAGCTAGAAACAACCAATCAGAGCCAGGAGGAGTACCAGCTTTAGTAGCTTGTCTGTTGCATAAAACCCACCTGAGCCCTGTTCATCCTCACTCCATCATTGAAATAAGGACAGGAACATTGTAGAAGTACAGTTTTGGAAATACTCTAACTATCACAGTACGGCCCTTAAATGTTTACACCCTGCTTCTAATTCTCCCACTTTGAGGACAAAAGGCTGACTTGTTGCCTAACATATCTCACGCAACAACAGGCACCATGCTGAAAAGATGATCTGTGGTCGCATTGTTCTGCTTGACTGGTGTACAGTGAGTGAGTGGGAGACCAACTAAATATTTGGAACACAGCTACGCTCTGAATAGCCTCCTTATTGTTCAACTCATTTGAATTCCTCCTTTTTCAGAACAGATTCCAATCGGAGGCTCAGTCTGGGCCTGGCCTTGCTGAAAGGGCCGAGCTCATTCCATTTCCAGCGATGGGAGTGATTGGGGAGAAGTGAGCCTGAAGATTGCTGAAGTAATTAACATTCGCGGCTGGTTGGCAGATCCAATCGTCTTGTCTCGGATGCAGGAGGAGCCGTCGTACGCGTATACACACACACACACACACGCATACACAACAGAGCTCCAAATTCAAAGTTTAATTGCATCCTGCAGCACAATAAAACGTGTCCTCGTACGCGCAGACAGCTGTCACACTCAGAATTTTGTGCTGCTTTGATGATTTGGTTAATGTGCAAGTGGAAGTCAAAACAACCAGAGCAGCTGTCGTTTACGTCACGTTTCTGAATGTATGTCGCTGAAATAGTTTGCCGTTTTTGTGCTGGTGAATATCTCTTTAATGACGCCTTCGTAAGGCTGCAATTTATTCAATCGGAAAGGATGATGTGTGAGATCTTTTTCTCTACTGAATTTCTTTGGTTCCTTCATCATCGCCAGACAATTTTAATGATTATCTTCTTTTTTTTTATTTCAAACTGGAAAGATGTTGTCTCCTTACTTTTCTTTGCTCTCCTGACTTTCTTTTACTCTTTCATCTCAACTTTCCACCCAGCTGTTGTTTCAACTGGTTTTCCCTCCTTTTTCAGTTTGATTTGGTTAGTTTGTGCATTAGATATGAAATAAAACGTGCATCGTAAACACTTTTATATTTTAATTTCCTAAAACTTAAGTGTGGAGGAGTTCCCTAAGGAAAGCTATTTAAAACTTTTTTTTTTAAGTGCTTGAATTTTCACAGATGAAGGGAAAGATAACAGGTAAATAATCACATATTTTTACAACAGGACACAGATGCACTAATTTCAATCATATTTTCCAAAATGTTATAAAAAAAAAAATAAATTTTACTTTGTTGAAAATTCAGACACTGTCCTGCATTTTATTCTTAAAATTAAATACCCATACGCCCAAAATATAGTAGAAAAAACATACATTTCACATCAGCTTGAATTATATTTCTTCTTTATATCTTCTCCACTCTGAAACCTTACTTGCCACTTTAACAACACCTTTGTCGCTGGCCCAGATATTATTGCACTTATCTTATGTTTTCCCTTTTTCTTTCTCTCCATCACCTTTTTAGAATTGGAGGCCGTTGTCTCAAGGTGACTCGGAGCATCTGGAGCCGTTCGCCACAATATACGAAGCAATTTAGTCGCAGACAGGAGCTGTGAAGAGACCGGACTCCTGCCCTCTGGTGACTCCAAACATTGTGGCTGGCGACCCTGTCAAGGTTGCAGCTCACAGTTCATCTGCATACGTGGAAAGTCCTAGCAGGCAACACAATTCAGTTCTTGAAATTAATCTTGTCTGAAAAAAAACAAAAAAACAAAACATAAACAGATTTATGCACCTGATGGAAAAAGCTGAGTGTCCCTGGTGGAAAATTAGGAAGTGATGTGTGTCCGTGTAAGAACGTCAGTGAGTAAATGAATAATGCTTCAGCTTCTTAGGAGGTCCTTACAGGCATCCGAGTCTTCCTGACATGAATATTAAACCTCCACGCAGGTAAGGGCGTCTAATTGTTCTTAATTTCTCAATTTGCATCCCTCCCTGAGGAAAGACTATTGGAATATTTGTGAAACATGATGGCTGGTGTTAGGTTGCATAAGTCCGCAGCCAATCCCATTGATTGCTTTTATATGCATGACTCACGTATTGTCTCTCATCTTTCATCACACGGCGAAACGGGTCCTTCATCAGCATCGATGCGGCCACAAGACACGCAGTTGCGCACATGCGCCACAGTCTGTCAAGGCTCTTAGGCAACGGGTGACAACAGCGACTGCAGTGAATCCTAATCGTAGGGTTTAGTTATCACTGTAAAGACCTTAGAAAGGAATCAAATGAAAATAGAAGTTATATCCTCATGAATATTATCATTGAAATTATGCTTATATATTATGCTACCTATTTTCTATTCCATTTGTGTTCCTAACAAATAACTCCTAGAAGAAAAAAATAAGTGTTTATTCTTGTTTTTATCCAACTTGACGACTTCACTATAGTCGTCTTTCCCTTTAGTTTTTCCTCTTTTTTATCCATGAATACAACAGCTTCATAGAATAACAGTTGGCATGAATAGTTATAATCATATAATATGTATTTTTGCTTTGGTTAATATCTGCATGCTTCAAAAATATAAAATTACAAAACATCTGATAGTTTACACATGTTTACTGCACAGAAAATTAGACTTTTTTTATCGTTTTGCTGTTTGAGGAGCACAAAATAACAAGTTGACGTTTTCCTGTTCATTATTTACACGTTCTGCTTATTGAAGAAGTCTTTAGCTGGCTGCATGGCAGACATAGCTTGTAGCTTGCCAACTATAGTTGCAGCATTTCCCTTATTTGAATGTGAATGACAGTCGTTTAGTTTTTAAACCATGAACGTTTGCAATTTAGAAATATTTCCAGACAGCCACTTCTCTGTCTCGAAATCAAAATAAAATTTTAACCCTGGGAAAGATAAACAATGATTAAATTATTGAAAAGGGGATTTGAATCGCTACCTGTCGTGGAGGGAACAAAATGTTCCCAAGGAGGGGTATGAATTGATGCCTGGCACCATTTCAAAGTATATTGTGGCAATTGAAGTCCAGTAATAAAATTCTGGAACTATGTTGTTGAGATGCTACAAAAAAGGCTTTTCTCAGACATATCCCGTATATCTGTAAACACAGATTACACAATAAACTGGAAAAATAAAAAAAATATGTGTTTTTTTATTTTTTTGCTAGATATACAGCATTCATGTACCCTACATTGTGATAAAGGTGGATTTGTTTGACCAATTTTCAAAGTGATTAATTAAGTAAGAGAAGAGACTTCATCTACGTTTTTAGACAGATTTTTGTCTTCAAATGCTTTAACAATAAACCAAACCTACACATTGAGGGAAATTGAACACTTTTTTGCGCTCACAAGCTTATCAAATAATGACTGAAGGTTGATGAACTCTTTTCTATTCTTAAAGGATGAGAAGATTTCAAATTACCTTGAACTCTAAAAATACTGGATCAGTAGCAGAGCAGGGGATGTAATCAATATTACAGTCTAGTCCAAGGCAATGCTCTACTAACAAAGCAGAGAGTAATGGAAAAATCAAAGCGCTCAATGTTTGGTCTCTGTAACATTACTCATCTGCTCTCCTGAATGGAGTCTTATCTCATCATCGCTACACACAGAGAAAGAGAGAGAGCAAGCGTGGTAGAGAGTAATTGCTGTAGCAACCGGTCACCTTCAGGTAAAAAAAAAAAACCCTAGTCTGAAGTAAATTCACTTCAGGTGGGTCTTGCTTAAAAATCTGTAAGACTCATCATACCCAAACCAAAATTTCTCAGGTTTACCACAATTATCAAATTGAAAGTTGGTGTGTTTGTGCTTGTGTTGGTCAGAGGATGACCCCAGAAGGCTACAGCAGGCGAGTGACCTCCATATGACAAGATCAGAGAAGGGGGATTGGATCAGTGACCAAATACTGTTCTTCATTTATTATTCACACTTATTTTTGTCTATAGCACTACTTATTTTAACTTTAGCATCAGACAAAACTAGAGTACCATGTCCTTATTCCTATTGATACTTGAGTAGTTCCTATAATAAAAGAGTAGCATACTCAAACTGAACAATGTAAATCAACGTCAGTTACTCTGTGTGATCAACTGACTTCAGGAAAGATGAGCAGATCATCTTATTTTATCGAAGACTTCATTCTAATGGCAATGGGTGGATAGACAATGGTACTCTTTCCAGTGAGTGTCTGGGGGATCTCAAGGTGTCACCATGCAAAAAGGGATATACCGTACATTCGATCTGACGACTTGTAGACAACTCCTCCTGGAATTCGTTATACCCAACCTCAGTTTTCTGTTGTGCAAGTGGTGTATCCATAAAGAGTTGTCTTTTGTAACTTCTTGGCCTTAGCACAGTCAGGCTTTGTAAGTTTAAATGTGTCCACAAGCATTTGTTTTCGTCTACCATTGCTGCGTTTGCCAAAATCTCTCTGTGTTTTTGCCATTTACCATGAGTGACCCTACCAGCAGATAAAGCGCAGGACAGCACAGTCCCACACAAGAGGACTCAGCCATCTCCATTCTCAATGACAATATTTATGCATTTTTGCAGGCTACAGCAAAGGAGCGCCTCGGTTTGTTTTATTTCAATTGATATGTGAAACGTTTCTAATGACCTGCATCATCATGTGTTAAAATGATGTAAAAGACATACAGATATTAAAACACGCAACCTTATTTTCTTTTCTTAGAAAGCCGATTCATTTCTTTGTCGATCGGGGAAAATGAAAATTACCTATGAAAAAGGAATTGGCAATATCTTATTTTTAGGCTGGTGTGGCTACATATTTAAGACTTTGCACCCTATTATAATTCCCATTATTGTTGTGTTTGCTGTTTTTATATCTATTTTACTTCAGTTCAGTTCTTTGTCATTGATTTTAGTTTATGTTCACTTAATGTGTGCAGTTATTTCTGTTTAATTATGTTTCTTGGGTATAGTTATTCTCTTGTGTTACTCATTTCTAGTACCCTGTGTACTCGCCCTTGCTCACTGTACCATTTCCTCTCTCTCTCTTCAGTCTGCAGGCTGCTCTCTCCCCTCACACCTGCAACCCATTAACTAATCATCCCAGGTCTTTTGTTCCGGCGTTCACCCTCATAGTATTTAAACCCTCTTCTTGCACACACTGCTTGCTGGTTCCTCCTGTTAAATCCTGTTATTTCCCTGTCGTGTCCATATGTTCTCATACTGGCTTTTTGTTCCTGAATTCTTGTGTTTGTGGTCTGCTCTGTCTCCCTGTGGTTTTTGTAAGTTTTTGATTATCACCTTTTTCATTAAACGTTCACATCAACTCTTCCTCTCTACCGTATTTGGGTCCACCTACAAACAATTTATCATGACAGATGTACCATTTAAGAAAACCATCCTAAGAGGAAAACTCCCACCAATATTTTTAAAAGCCTCCCAAAAGGAAAAGACAAAAAAAAACAAACAATGTCTTTCTTTTTTTTACATATACTTTACACAGAAAATAAGTTAAGGCTATAGAAAAAGACACACATATGTTCATCAAAAAAGACTCTTTAATTGGTCTTTGTGGATAATTACAGGGTGTAGAAGCCTGGTAATATAGATACTATAATCGTTTTCACTAAGCTCATTTTGTTTAATAAACAGTTTGAGTGGATGGTAAAAAGAGGGATGAAGAGGAAATATAAAAGAGTCGAAAAGGGGGAATGGATCACTGGTTAACTGATGTTATTAATAAAGTAGTACCAAAAGCTTCCATAAACTTACAGCAGTTTTTAAACAGATTTTTTTTAATGTGCCAGAGGTGTGATTAGAAAAAAAGGGTGACTATAAAGTCCTATATGTGGAATACATGAATATTACATTAACCAGCCTCAAATAACACATTCGACTATGCGATTATAGTACTTAGAATACATAATTTATTCAACGTGAGGCTTGTGCGCTGTTGAAGCCTCATACTTAGATACAGTGAGGATGAAATCTGTGGGTTAAGACACCTAGTGCTGGTCAATGCTGTTCTAATGCGGCAATCGTTTTGCAGATCATGTTGTTGCGGACTGCTTTCACAAAGTAGCTGCTTCCTGTGACTCATCATTATGACTTGGACTGATTATATTTGCTTCAGAAAACTGGTGTACTTTTATGCCTTTTAAAAATCAGTACTGATGACCTCATCTCATAAATAAACACTTCACATCTACATCACAGCTTTTTTTTTAGATGTCTAGTGACTAGTGATGGCTGCCTATCCAAAGCTTCTTCCCAGACGTAAACAGTTTGTCTACCAGACAATAATCAATGTTGAATTCCAGCAATCCACACAATAAAAAATTAAACACACACACACAGCAATAAATCTCAGGTTACAGTTTAACCATTTGTCAATGACATGGTCTCCTGTGAAAGATGAACACTTTTGTGGGAAAGCAGCCACTGAGTTAAACCAGTCAAACCCAGCTTTCCACAACTTTACCAAGGATAGATTGGTGAAAGTCTTTTTCCAAGAGTCTGACCTGAATTACTATTCTTTACCACACAATGACAATTAAAATCAACATAGCTGTAAATCTAACAACAACAAAAAACTTTCCAAAGTTGTAACATTTATTATTCTCATCTTCTGTAACTCCACAGCTTTCATCCAGAAAGGTTATCAATCAGACTTCAGATTCTAGACTGGAAACTCGTCGCCAAGGCCGAAGTACACAAGGACTCCCAACAGGCTGTCCTGTTCCTCCTTGCCCTATCTGGGCGTCGGAGCCAGTCTGGGGTCCCTGGTAGGCCCCATAAGCTCCATACACATTGTCTTGATACAGCAGTGTCCGCTGTCCCCCACATCGTCCACCACCACAGGCCAACAGCTGGCACACTGGGCTGGAACTCTGGCTGTGATGCTGGAGGTCCAGTGGACTGTGATAGATTGGGAGACCGGGATATGAGTTCAGGTAGTGTGTGTACTGTCGGCTGAGAAGGCTTGTGGCTCTGCGGACCATACCCCGCCCTAAACCATTTCCATTTCGAACCGCTTCTCCGTATGTTGGGAGGTGGGTGGAGTGGGAGTAGCGCAGTCTCTGGCCCTTTCGTCCATTTGGCCTCCTCTGGTCCTCCCTTATGTGGAGGTAGGCCTGGTTCCTTGGGAGGCACAGGTTGTTTCGAACATGGGCAGGATTGTAAGGCTTGGCAGATGTTGTAGGAGTAACCATGCATGGAAACAGGTCCGGCAAGGTTGAAGGTGATTGGCTGGATAAAGAAGACTGTGATTCATCAAGATGATGAATTTGGTCATTGCCCCACGTTGCTTTAAGAAAAGAGGGGCGGCGGTGCCTCCGCCGGCCCCTCAGCACAAGGTCCTCTGGAGGCCAAGAGCTATAATTCTCCACCCGGGGACACATCCCCTCTCCTGAGTAAACATTGTCAACACTTGGGGCGGAGATATGATTCTCTTGGAGGTGATTGGCTTTAAGTTCAGTCAGACTGATAGTACTTTTGTCACACTTACCCTGATCCCCATGTTTTCTCCTTTCCACATCCCCATTCTCACACTGAAAACTCTTGGACCTCCTTTTTGGTTGTGAAAGGCCCAATTGGATATGTTGGTTTTGGGGTAAAGAGACTGGATGAGATGTGTAAATGTCAGGTAGCTGGAGTTCTGAGTAGGCAATGTAAGGGGAGTGAGAATGGGAGTCTACATACACCCTCCCTGTAGTCTGGTAGTGGTGTGGGAGGTGATGAGGGAGCGTCTCCCCTACAGCCAGGTGAGGAGTGCTCAAACTGGACACAGGAAGTGGTCTGTCATACAGACACGATGTTGAACGAGTTGGAAGCGTGTAGCGCAGTGGTGTTGGTCTACTTACACCCCTGTGCTGTTTCAAAGAGGTAATGCCAGTTAGAGGTGGGGTGAGGGACCCCTGAGGAATGGAGCAGTGGTTTTCAGCAACATAAGCAAATCCTCCCGGAACGGCCTCAGTGGTGACTTGAGGGACACGAACAGGCATACTACTACCATGACGAGTCAATTGTTCTATGGTCTTGGTAGCATTGTCCAGGGAGCTCTCAACATTCGCAGTGGAGACCAGATCCTTGGCAGTGCGAAGCATTTTCAGCATGTTTGCTTGAGCATAGTTGGAGGTCAGGTCAGGTTTGGCCAAACCAGATGAGCGTCCTGGATCTTCTACTCCTTTGAAGCAACTGTAAATACCCTGGTATGGTATGTAAGACAAGCAAAGAACATTTTAGTTATGAAATAGAAGTAGAACAAAATAAATAAGATATGTAAATTACTTCAAACCAACCAGCTAAGCAGTCCAAAATTCATAATTTCACAGGTAGAATTCTAAGTAGCTGGTGCATCTCAAACAGTCACCCCCTAACAAAAGAAACCCTTGATTTTTCCAATGAAATCACTTTGTTGCTGAGGCATGTTTAAGGCAATAATTTACTGTGCATCCTCCCAGAACAGAAAAATGCTGATCAAACCATTTGGATTGCCCTCAGAAAATGCACAAAAGAAACAAGCCTTAAGTCAGCTTCAGAAAACAAGTCATTTTGAATGAACCAAAAAAACAAAATCCCTTGACTTTTCTCTGGTTACAGCTGGCAGAGATATCCAAAAAGGGCCACATTTAATTTGGAGTTAGAGCTGCTCATTAGGAACTAACGACAGCAATTTCTTTAGAAATCTGATCAATTCCAGGCACAGTGGTATAATTATATACTCAAGAAGACCATCCATTAGCGATTTCTCGTTATGCCTTCAATCAGTCTTTTTTTGCCCTCACGGCCACATCCTTAAATAAGCGTACAAAGAACTAATTTAGGCTAACTACAGCAATAGCTTTCAAATCTAAAAGCTAAATTAACAAGATTACAGAAGCTTTTTAATGTGTGGTGTTGGGCTGAGTACTTCGGCTACTATTGAAGTTCTCCAGTTAACACCCTACTATTAGATGCACCCACTGATTATAATTAATCTGACTTGGAATTAAAAAAAAACTGTAAATGTAATATAACTCTATAAATAAGAATTATTAAAACAGTCTTTAAATATCTCTACAAAATGTTACGCAACTGATTCAATTAAAGTAAGACAGCTGGCCATCTAATTACTTAGTGGGTCTCTTGGCCCACTTCTACACAAACAGAGAATGAATAAGCTACTCTTGATTTTTGGGGGTTTTTCTTCCTTTTACAAAAGCCTTACCCTGCTTATGGCCAACAGGAAGTCAAGTTTATGAGACTTGTGGAGAGAGTGCCGCAACTTCCAATACAGCAGGTGTTCCCAGGCGAAGACCAGCAGACTGAGGCCCATAGCTACCAGAAGCATGTAGAAGACACCAGCCATGTTGTCAATGTCCAGCTTGCTGCTCATCACCTCGTTTTTCTCGTTCTGGCAGATACCAGAAAGCCAAACAGTCTCCAGGCGTTCTGTGTCTCCTAAAGGATTAGAAATGAGAACAAAGGGACAGTCAACTTTCAGAAAATGATGATGATGATGATGATGATGATATGCTCATCCCAAAGTCTGATGACTGAAAGTTACTAATGTATGTCATTAAATATGCATTGAATGTGCGGATCCAAAGGTGTGAAGACATCATTCCTACATAGTTTTTATTCAAAAATAATCTATCTAGCCCAGACACAACAGTATTAATCCAGAATTTGCATTCCTGTTTGTCTATAATGGGGATATTTCTTCTTGAGCATAGAAAATAAACCAGTTTTGCTGGTGTGATACATTTATACAGAAGATGGGAAAGGCCTAGTACTATTGATTTTAATATTGGTGGGAGGGAAGAGGGGTGAACCGGCCCTCCAATGGGTGTGTGTGCGTGTGTTGTGAGAGTGTGTGTGTACTCCTGGCATGCTTGGACGCCTCTGGGTTTGTGATGTGGGTTTGGTAGGGTGCCCTGTCTTTGGTGCGCTGGACCGCCCTTCCTCTACTGCTTCTTCCTGCTGCTCTTCCCCACGCCCTGGGGGCCAGAGCATGTGTTCGATATTTGTGTGCTGTTTTGGGGGTGGCCCTGCGGTGACATGCATGTTGTGGCTTGGGCAAATAAATGATTGTCAAACAAAATGTTGAACATCTACTGTCCATTTATTTTCTACTTCTTAATTATGGAGTACTCTGTGTTGTTCTATCACACCAAGTCCCAATTAAACACATTCTGGTTCTTTGAGGGAAATTAGCAATTTTACTATCTTGAGAAAACAAAATTTTCTACAAAAGATAATGCGGTAAATAACAGATATAACAAATATCATACAGAGATTTCTATAAGTAACTTTTTTTTAATACATTTGTCAGGTTCGGATTTCACATGAAGGTAGTAAGACTAAAACAGGGCATAAACAACAGTCACAAATTATATTTAGGATATTTAGATATTATTTGTTTGAAAGGTAAATATAATGCTTTTTAGATGGTGTTGCACTAGAATTGCAAAATCTCAATTCAAACCCCTCTAAAACTGAAACTGAGATCAATTAAAACCTTTCAGAGATCTTGAAGATCCTTTGAATTGGATGAAAAAGTAAAGTTAGCTTTGGTGTTATCCCTCTCTTTGTAGGAGGTTTGTTGGCGGAAGAAAGAGGTTAATTTAGCAGAGGATTATCTAGAACATTTCTTGATCCCACTGAACGGAGGATACTCAACTGCCCTTATCTTTCACATGTCACAGAGCACAGGAGCACAGGGGCAAAGGAAATAACCTACAAAGAAGTCAAGGGATTGCCCTTTCTTTACTGCACAGTTATATTTTTACATAACAATTTCTTCCCCTATATTTCACAGTATTTCATTACTGTGGATGTTTGTTTTAAATCAATGGTTGAAGATTGCCAAAAGCAATTTTTTATGCACGTTTTCTTGCAAAACTATGTTTTTCTCTCATAGTTTCTTTTAGAGAAAAGCACCTAAAGCCCCTTCTTCATTGTCAAGTCTCGCTCTAGTCATTTTTAATGTGCTGTTCAGATCTAGTCAGGTTATGAGCATCTCCATTGCATTTCCATTCCTATTAAGACATGATGGGTGAAAACATTGTATGTTGCAAAAATGTGGAAAAGTTTAAGCGGCATGAATATTTTTACAACGCAATCAAGAACCAAGTAAGATGTTATCAAAGCAAACAATATCAAGATGACAAACATTGAGGTAGTTTAAATCCAGTTTTTATTATTGTTAAAACTTGAAGGGGTTGTTTCTTTCCCTTGCTTGTTTTTTATTTTTTATTTTATTTTTTATCTTACTATCATTAAAATTACACAGCAAACTAACTTCGGAATTGTTTTGATGATGTTTCTCCAAAAGGCTTTTCTACCTTGCTAGCTGTTATTTTTTCTAACCCAACTAAGACTTAGTCGTAAGACATCATCAGTTTTCTGTAGCAAGTGTTGGTGGTGGAAATAGATCAGATGCTAAGCAAGCAGTAGCACCAGTTTAGCACTGGGACAGGTTTAGTGAAAATACCCCCAATGTGGCAGTGATTGTGTAGGCTTACGTTTGAAAGGAAATGCAGATTTTGTGAATGTTTAAGAAGGTGACAATCCTACTGTGGGCACTTCCTGCTGTTTTCAAATATTAACTCTTCTAGTTGAGGTCAAATTAATGACATGATATGTATGCTTTGTTTGGAGTTGTCCATTTGAGTTTAGATTACGGTTTTTTTTATATATATAAACTGGTAACTACCACATTATTTATACATCAATCAACAATAACTTTTCAACCAGTAAAGCGATTAATCAAGGCATCTGTTAGTAAATGGGACATATGGGACAGTAAGTGAATATTTTGTTCTGAAGCTTGATGTGTCAGAAGAAGGAAAATGTACAAGAGTGAGGATTTGAAAGAGCTTGACAAGAACCAAATGACGATGGCGAATAATTGAGTCAGCATATTTCCCAATCTCCAGATCAGAATGGGTATTCCCATCAAAAGTCAACCATTTAACAAATGGTAGAAAACAACACAAACTGCTGTATGCCAAATTGTTAAAGAACTTCATACTGGTTCTAATACAAAAGTGACATAATGCATAGTGCATCACAGTTTGCATAAGGCTACATAACTGCAACCCAGTCAGGAACCCTTTGCTGACCTCTCCCAACCGCTGAAAACACCAACAATAGGAAAATGAGCATCAGAACTGAACCTTGGGTCCCAACCTCCATGTGGATGTTACTTTGAAATGTACCACTTAGCTACGTAGTTTTGCTGACCATGTTCACCCTTTCATAAAGATAGTATTTGCTGTTGGATGTGGTTTCTTTCAGCAGGATAATGCAACCTGCCAGTATGCAAACATGGTTTGAGTGTGTTTGAGGTGTCAGTCTGGTAGGCATATTTCCTAGAGTTCAGAACAATGAAGCATAGAAAAGTGCTGGACAAGTTTTATTTATTGAGGCTCCACCTTACAGCTTACATTATTTAAAGTTTGTGATTTAGAATTGAATTGGTTACTTTACCTGACTTGAAATACTTTGTTTTAAGGAAGACATTTTTGGGAAATAAAAGCAGCACCACAGATGGTACCTCATATTAACTTGTCCTTTTGCCCCTGTACTACTTTATTATATATAAGATGTGCAAAGTAGAGCTTCTTCAAGGCTTGAGACTTTGAAATAGAAATGTATCTGTCTTGACATAGGGATACTCCCCCCAGGGAATGATTGTACAATGAATAATACATAGATTAAATTGTCAAGAATTGTCTTGAAGTGGCAAGACTTTGTGCACCTTGCACCAAAGTCTATTTGGTTGATGGATAATGCTTTAGATCCAACTCATCAAGAGGTGGTGATCCTTGAGAAGAAGGGCTAGTCAGTTGGATATGACTTTGAATTCAAGCACTGCACAATTTCTAATTATACGCTGAGATTATATGAGATCGTATGGTTATGGTCAAAACGGGAGAGCTGAGATTCTGTCTAGAGTTGTAGGGGTAGTTTTATTTATTGATAGATATAAAATATATCTAGTTTGCTTAGAAAGAAGCTTACCATCTCCAAGAAACTGTAGCAATGCCAAGTCAATTGGTCGTTTCCAGCGGGAATCTTTCTCCAAAGCAATGCCATATCCTGTGGTGGCAAATACTTTCCCACTGCCAATGGTCACCAGTTTACAACCCTCATCTTTACCAGCCATGTAGTTCAAGACAGCAGCATCATAGATGAAGGCATCTAGTTTCCTGCAGAGAAATAGATCAAAAGTAGCTCTTATATCTCAAAAGTGTGCAACACACTCTTAACATATTGAGGTTGTATAGTGTAAAAAAAAAAAAAAAAAAAAAAAAAAGCATAGATGGTTTCAAAACTGCAGCAACATTTGTTGACAAACATGTTTGTAGGAGAAAAAGTACAAAGAAAATGGCTTGATTGCATAATTGTAATCACTAGGAAATAAATACTTTTAAAGTAGGGCTTCATTAAAATGTGCAACATCTTGAATTGGTGATCTTCAAATACTCCTTGTTTTCCCAATCTACACACACACACACATATATATATATATATATATATATATATATATATATATATATGTATATATATATATATATATATATATATATATATATATATATATATATATATATATATATATATTATATTATATATATGTGTGTGTATAGAAAAGCTCAAAGAATCCTAAATCTAAGAGCTTTTTTCAAAATGAGATATCAAGTGTTTGACAATGCTTTTTATAGTCAACAAATTAAATAACAATAGATATGACTGCATCTAAAAATACAACCATCACACTGGCTTAAAACAAAAATAGGTTGTAAAATACAAAGCACATCTGCCGTGTCACCAAAATTATGATCATTGCCGCCTTGTCATCTGATGCCTTTTCTGTCACAAGAATCAGTTAAATATAGCTTCCAGTCAGTAATTATGTTTATAGTGTGAGCAAATCTTTACCCGGTTTTGAGGCTCTCCAGAGCTTCTTCCACCCCTTTCTGGTTATATTTCATCATGTGTGTGTGCATATCAGGATAGTTGCTGCGAATGTTCCTCTCTGTGCTCCCATTTGGAACCGTCCCGAAGCGAAAAGGAGGATAATGCTCCTGTGGTTTTTGAAACTGCAGAGACACAGCAGATGAGGGGAGAGGTGGAAGAAGATTATTGAAAAGGAAAAGAATAGAAAAAAAAAAACAGGATTCATACGTCTCTAACTGTTCCACATGTAATCAGATTACAACCAGAAACTGCAAGGTATGTCGATGGTTTTTAAGTTGTTCGACCATTGCAACGTAGTACATAACAGTGAAGTGGAAAATTGACATATTGTTGTCATTAGGGATGCGTGATATGTTGGCGTCAGCATTGACCAATATTAGTCATTTTTTAACATAATGGTATCTTCATTTAGCCAATTTTCATATCGGTGCATCCTGAATTTTTTTCTGTCTTTAGTTTTACACATTTTTGGAAAGTATCCAGAGCAGAGCAAATGAAGACAGATGAAGATGAGGAAGACAGCAAAACATATTGTAAGCTAAAATGGTTTAATAAAGAAATGTTTAAGATGTATCAGGAAAAAAGAGTTTGGGGAATAAAAGAAAAAAGACAAAAGTAGACAGTGAAAGAAATGAAAATTAACAACGTAGATAAGATTGTAGGTGAGGAAAGAGGATGAAATACAAAGAAAGAAAAAACATTCACAGTAAAAAGAGAAGACTTGACCAAAAATATGAGATGGAGGGAAACAAAAAACGTTTTTTTTTTCCTTTTTTGAACAAAATAAATTTTGCATCAAAAACCAGTTGGATAAGCACCACATCATTACAAATGGACTGTTAAGCTCTCACTTGTCTCAATTTGATTAAACCTGACAGCAGCCACTGTGTATTTGTTAGAATAACTGTGATCCAGCTGAAGTTCATATTTCATGACATTCAGCATAGTGAAGCAGGAATATGTTCGTTGGAACTTAATGAGACAGTAAACAGAAAGAAGCTATTCATCTTAGTAACTGCACTGACCTTTTGAGCTGAGTAAAATGAATAGATCCAATCAACCAGGGAGTTTGTGAGTCGGTATGTGTGTTAAATATATATAATCACTCTTCAGATGGAACGCCAATAGAGTCAACTAAAATGCTACACAGAAGACCAATCGGAGGCTCACAGTTTATGCTGACAAGAAGAAAAAACTGCCTGTACAGCTAGTAAAAATATTGTCGGGTAATTTTTTATAAAAAATAAACAAATTGTTTTGGGGAATTTAGATTACACCATCTCATGGCTACCCTGTGTTAAGATATTACAGCAAAAGTAATCTTTCATAAATATTTTTATCATATGATGGTTGGTAATTGTAAAATATCCAAGTGAAAAATTACCTTTGGGGTGTCTGGTTTCTCTAATTGTTTTGTTTTTAATATATTTCTTTTTCTGGAGGATTTTGTTTGTTTTATTTGTGTGTCATTTAGTATGATTACTACGCTATTGTCTTAACGTGTTATGTATAAATTGTAGTAGTTTTAGCAGACTTGGACATCTGAAAATGTTGTGATTCTACATTATCAAATGTAGACAAAAAAAATCTGTAATAGCTAAACACTACATACAGCACATTATGTGTATTCTGTGTACTGGAACTATATCAGCTTGTATTGGCTAGTAATTAATTTTGTTTGTGTTGTCATATTGTGCCTGTGTTATTTAAATGAGTCTAAATCTAAAGGAGATGACACACATTTATTGATGATAAATGTGTGTTTAGATTGCATCTCTCTGCTTTAAAGTACTATATAAAGGATAGTTCTCTTTCCTATATACATATTTTTTTTTATCAACACACATTTATTGATGATAAAAAATGTATGTATATAAGAAAGAGATTATATAGTACTTTAAAGCAGAGAGATATAATCTAAACCTCACTCTTTGCTGTGTTGTATCTCGGCTTTAAATAGCACCTATTCACCTAGGATTTTATTTGTTAGAGCTTTTAGAACCTTTTCCCAGGTTGAATGTTTGTGTGAAAACATTCAAGCCATGAAGAATGTGTCTGAGACTTGCTCTTCTATTTGGCTTACTATTTTTCAAAAATCATTTGACATTTTACAATCTTGTTCCAACAGTGTGAGATACACTGCAGACGGAGACCACATAGTGGGGAATATTGATGGACAGACCCAAAATACTGACAGAACAAGTTAAGACTCAGACAGCATCCATATTGACAGACGGCAGTAATTGATTAGTCATTCACACCACTGGGCTTCCCACTGAAAGGCAAAGGACAGAGGCTTTCACGACAAAATCCTTTTGCTGGATTCCATCTCGGAGGATTTCTGTGAGTCAACTGGCTCAGTTGTGGTCACGGCCTATTAGGCGATGGATTTTAAACGCAATGGAGAGGACGCAACGCATCAGCATGAGCTGTAGATAAAGGCCAAGATGTTTTCACTATGTCTCAAAAGCCTTACAAACACGCCCCACTTGCATTACTGCCATTGTTCTAATTGCTACTATTGAACTGTTGCGTGTTCTGTTCCTTACCTTCTTGTCAGAAAGGCCAGACACGGTGTCAATATATTGCTCCTGGATCATAAAAGCAGCCAGGTTGGCGGTGTAAGAAGCCAGGAAGATGACAGCGAAGAAGGCCCAGACTAGGACCATGATTTTACTGGTGGTTCCTTTGGGGTTTTCAATGGGGACGGAGTTGTTGAAGACGATTCCCCACAGCAGCCACACTGATTTCCCTATCGTGAACGTCGGCCCACCTGGAGCTGAGGAAGGAAATTGTGGAGAGTCAGTGTTTGAATAATAAATCTGGAATGTCCATACAGATGTTTCTCTTGGGCTCCTCATATGAAAACCATGAATACTTCTTAAAATAAAAATATAATAAACATTGTGAAAACAGACTCAAAAATGCTTGACATAAATTCAAATATTTCAGAAAAAAAGAAGGAGTCTGTAAAAGGGTTTTTCATTCTGAGACTTATTAATTTCTAAATTGACCTGAAAGTGGATTTGTTTGTGTAAATTCAAATAACAATAAGGTCCTTGACAGTGCAAAAAAAAATTACTAAATATGTCAAGATAAGCAGCAGCTAATTAATGGAGAAACAATTAAATACAAGCCACAAGTGTTATGGTTGAGGTTTAAAGCTGCAGCAGTTTGTGCCATTTGAAGATGATCAATGTTTGCTTTTGGCTAAGATGAAAGAAAATTAACCCCATAAGTAAGATAAAATGAGATTATCATCAGGAGGCACCCATTTATACATTCTCAACAATATTTTTAATTCTTTTTCAACAATTAAAAATAAGTTTTTGTGACACAAAACACTGCATGTCTCTCAAAATATACATTAAAGAAAAGAACTTGAGCAAATCATATCTAAAAAAAAAAATAATAAAAAAAAAATTAAAAAAATCGCATTGTGTATATTCCCTGAATCCTTAAGTGGAATTGTCCATTTTCACAGTGATTCATTGTAGAAGTGATAACATTGTATTTTAGTTACTCTCCCTCGTCGTTGTTGTCCGCTGCGCTGTGTAAATAATCCTGAACCTTTTCATGCCCTTGTTTAAAACCCCACAAAAGAGAGGAATTTCACTGCCTCAGCCCATTTTCAGTGTTGCCACTGTTGTTCAAGCACAGCAACAGAGGTTGCCACCTTCATCAATCACACTTCAATTAGTGCAGCCAAGATTGCTAATTGAAACAAGGAAATGACCTTTCGGACCTGGATACGGGCACGATCTGCCAGTGCTCCATTCTGGGATTTATTGGGTCTCTCACAAAAATCTTGTTTGGGAACTCTACCCATTGCAGGACATGCAGACTGCACTGGATTTAGGCAGGCTTACTGTGTCATACGTGGTGTGATGGAAACTGAGAAGCTTTGAGGTATTTGGTGGGTATTTCTAGAAAAATGTATAGAAATGGCAAAATGTAAACCCATGAGTGGGGGATAATAGAAGACAGTATTGGAATTTTATTATGAAAACTTGCTTTTCTATTATTCATCCATCTTGTAAAACTACTTACACCCTCTGAAACTTGCTTACATTTTTAATATTGAAGCCCTAATTTTTATATGATGGACCAACACAGAGTGGTCTATAAATACAAACTGAGAGGAAAAAGTATACTTGACTTCTCATTTGCACAAATGGAAATACAACTTCCTATGTTTTTTATAGGAAAAAACACAAGACCTACACAAAAAAGTGTTTCTACAAAGTATTGAATATTCGACTGATCATACAAGAGTCGCAGACTTTTGTCAAGGCCTTTATTTGTGGGGGAAAAAAATAAAATTATTGTGATTCTAAAAAAACAAAAATACAAAAAAGTGGCATTTTATTCTCTTCGAAGGCACTGTACATGTGAAACAAAAATAATAAGTAAATACAACTCACCTTTGGCGCTTACCAGACTCCGGTTGTAGCCCACTGGGCTGAAATATTCAAACACAAACACAGTCACAGCCACAACGGTCAGGCACATCACAAACATCATGACCCAAACTGCTGGACTGTAGGGCTCTAAGAGAAAAGAAAAAAAAAATAAAATAAAACCACACACTTTGATTTTCAAACAAGAATTAAATAAGAGATTGCTAAAATCCAAGCTACTCATGTTGCTTTTTGAAATCAGTTGAGTGCAAAACAATGAATATTATTTAAAGGATCTGGGATACTTTATGTTGGACACATTTAGAAAGGCTGTTGAGGTGATTGGCTGGTATGCAAGGAGATTTAGTTCAAGATTGCAGCTACAGGTGGGATTAAATCTTAATGGGAAGTTTCCTGAGAGGCTTGTAGAGACAGAACAAGTGTAACTAGGCCATTCTTGGAAAAAAAAAAAAAGACTTAGAAAGATGGTGTTAACAGGGGAGCATGCAATACAAACGTTGAAGACCTATTTCTCACCAAGAAAGGCAGACGGCGATACTGTGCCGTTGCTACGCGCTACCATGACACTTATTCCCGTCTCCACAAACGGCACAGAGAAGTCAATGATTTCAGAGCGCTCCTCGTTGATAGTAAGCGAGCCGATGGCCATGTCAGCACGCCTGTAGAAAACCTGATGAGGAAAAGCAGCCAAAGAAAACATAATAAAACCACTGGAGGAAGAACACGAGAGAAACTGACCAGCTGCATTTCTTGTACCTAAAACAAGCACTATTTTAAATTTTATGACCAGTCTTTACTTAGGGAGACAAAGTGTCATTTTGCTATCTCGTTCCAGGAAGGTTCCCAAATTTCACTCATGCAGCCGGCCGAGTTTTATATTCTTCATGTGACTAAGGATTAGAGTGCAATTGTGCGTTAGCACCTGAAAAGCAGCTGTCTGAAAGGAAACATCTCTGTCTCATTATTTGAGCATGAAGGAGGAGCTGAATGCTCTGTCTCGAGATCGCTCAAATCCAAGGTGGCTTTATAAATGTTGCACACAAACAGAATTATACTGTAACACTTGCTGAATACCCTCGGGCACAGAAACACAAGCGTGAAGGCTCCGCTGCAGAACATCTGTTCAGAATGTTTTACATTTGGCTGGTGCTCAGTTTGATGTAGTTTGGCAGGTACACAGCCTCTAAACTGAAGAGAGATTCAGTCGGTCTCGGTGAGTCATGTAGCATTATAGTCAGAACCTTTTACTTAAAGTATGTGAAACAGCAATTGGGATGAACTCAGACTAACAATGAAAGCTTCATATAATTTAAGCAAAAGTGATGACGATGTGTTTTTAAAGTTAAATTAAGGTTAGAAATTTTGTAAATGTCCCTGTAATTATTATCGTTATTGGAAATTTGCTTAGATTTCTAGATTAAAGATTTTTTTTATATAGGTTTATTATGTTTCCTTAATGGGACTTTCAATTATTTATTTTTATTTTACTTTTTTACAAAAATGACATCAGAAATGGAGAAACTTGGTCACTAACTGTTTGAAGAAATACTTAATGAAAATTATACTCCTTTGATATTTAGTGTCATTCTTTGTGAAAATGTTAAAATATATAACTGAATGAAGACACTTTGGGGAATAGTGCAAAAGCTTGTATTATTTAAATTACCTTTCTTCTGCTAATTTTTCTTTTTTTTTAGCATTTTTAGTTACATTTATTTGAAGTCACAGCTGAAGATATGAAAATCCATATGCGGTTCTAAAGCTGCAGGTTGCAGATACTGGATAACTGATGAGCATTTTTGAGCAATACACATGAAGGATCAACGTGTATTGATCAATTTTAAGTCAATTTTAAGTCTTTGTTGGAGGGACACTGTTTACTAACCCGTTAGTGTAAAACTGCGTCAGCATTCAGCCTTACCTCCCCAATCATCCCGTTCCAAATCCCATGCACCAGTTTGCCGTGCTTTCCGTTGGTGACCAGGTAGAGATCGAAGGAGAACTTAATTGTTTTGGATAGCTTCTTGAGGATATCTATGCAGAAACCTTTGCAGCACAGTTTGGTGTAGGACTCGGATTGGGCACTGCTTGTAGAAAAATGAGATAAAATAAAGAGAAAATGCTGTCAGACGTATTACAACATATTTTATTTTTACATTTTCTAATCTGATAATGAAAGACTCTCTCCGTTGCTATATTTGGCTTAAGGCATCAAAGCGGTTGTACTCGTTTCGCAGAGTGAGTGCTAAATACTTCCAGACTCTCATGCTGACAGCAACCATTGTCAGCTGCGGCAAAGTGAAGGACAGGAGCGCTAAGGTTCATTAGCTAAAATCAATGGCGGTTAAAAGGTGTATTTCAAAGACTTGGAAGGGATGCCACAAAAGCTACACAAATCCACTTTCACACAGTCCCACAGAGGCCTTGGTGAAGGGTTGCGTGACTCCGATGGCCTCCAATCAACATCTATTACGGTCTGTTGTTTTTCCAGCTTCCTCTGTGTAACCTTGCTACTTACTGAGGTGAAAAATAAGACGAGAAAGTCCTCGTAAATATAGGCAAAATGTAATCGAACGCAAAGAAAAAATGTTTATTTCTAAGTTAGATGGGAAATTAGGTCAACAGATGAAACAGCAGCTACAATTCCTGCCAAAAATCTATTAAGGACTGTGCGTGTTTGTGACCTTATTAACTGAAGGATCCGTTCAGCATGTCAGCAAGTGAACATAAGCGTTGAAAAATGATAAAGACAACCTGTCGGCAGGGTTGGGGGGGAATAAATGAGCCACGCATAAACAAAGAAAAAAGTCAAGTGAGCAATTAAGATTATTGCTGATTGTTTTCCAGAATGTTTATTGTGGATAACATAGCTTCACGAGGTTTTGCTGCCTTCATGAGACTAACTCAGAAAATTAGAGTGTTAATTAACTGCTGTAGGAGCCGGCCACCTGTCATCATTAACCACACTCTGACTGCCATTCTCCTCACAAACAGTCTGAAACTGGGCCGCGAACACACAAACACATGTTCACATGCAGCTCACTTTCATCTGGGAATTTGTGACAGTTATGTGTTCATGTTGCAGTGTGTGGTCACCGGATGAAGACAACAAAAAAATGCACAGAAAGTGGCCACAGTGCGGAGGAGAGCATGAGGCAGCTGGACCAAGAAAGAGGAAGGGAAAGGGTAAACGGCTGACAAGTCACACAGGGCAGCGGCTCCGTTTGGTGGGAAAGGAGGGCAAGAGGAAAAGAGGACAAGAGGAGAAGATGAAGCAAGAGATGAGTTTGTGACTTCTCGGTTCGTACAGAAACCGAAAAGTAAAACAGGGTTAAGTTATTCCAGTCCCTGAGCTACAGATGATCACAGCAGTTATTTTCCTCACATAATCAAGAACCTAATTTTACTAAAGCTTCTAATTTAACCGATAACTGCTTTCATTAAAAAAAAATAAAAAAAATAAATAAAGTCAAATTGCTTTTCATTGTGAATTTAATGTGTGGACTAGCTGCAAAAAACACAAAATCTTACCAAGTATTTTTGTCTAGTTCCTGGTGCAAATATCTTGGTGCACTTGAAATAAGGCAAAACTGATTTACAAGCAACTTTTCTGCAAAATACAGGAACTTGTTTTAAGTCAATAATCTTTGAATATTGATAGAAAGTGCTGTTTTGTTGCACTTTTAACTAGACGTTTTTCCTACATTTTGAGTGGAAATCACATTGTGCACACAAATATCCTGATATGTCACGTTCCTTTTGCATATCATATAAATAATCACATTGAGCCACTTTAGCCACAAATGCCAGGGCCATTTTCTGGTCCCAGTTTCTTTAGAAAGAAAACTTCTTAAATCAGTTTGAGTAAAGACCTGAAATTAATGCACCATTTGATAAGTAGGATCAATTGGAAAGCATGTATTATTAAACAGAAATGCACTTCATAAATAGGCTAAATTAGATCGTATCTGATTAAATTTTCTTTCTGACTACTACTTATTCAGAGCTCAAAATCAAATGATAATAAAACAGAGAAGTTTATGTTCTGTAATCAACGAAACAAGGACAGAAAATGCTGCAAACTTTTTGCTTGCAGGATATGAGGTATATATATTTTTTTACCTCATAACAATAAAACTGTTCTTTTAAATCAAAAGGGTTTAATTGTGATCTACATGACAACTAAAACTATATTTTTATACGTATGACAGGAGCACATGTTTGTCATGGATGCTGGCTGACTCGCGATGAAAATGTCACATGAAGGATCATCCATTTTCGACAAGCAGGATCATAGCTGTGATACTGAATGATGAAACTGGATGTAAACACGAGAGCCACCTATTTTCACACCATTATCAGCTTATGTTGAGAAAACAAAAGTTTGTTTCTCTCAAGCAAATAAGATTTGTAGGTTCAGAGAAAATCACATCTAAATTAATCATAGCAGGAACAGCTGTACACAGCTTTTGTCTTTTTTTTAAGAATCTTAGGTGTTATATTTGCATGCAGTAAAAAAAAAGAAATCTAGTATCTATTATGTATATTTCAGAAAGCAGAGACTTAATTTTCTAATGTTCTATTTAAAGTCTGAAATATACAAACAAAAATGGAGTACCACACAGAAGTGGGGAGGATTACCAGTACTTTTTAAAAATACGTTATAGTATATAAGTTATGCAGCACTAGAAGTTGTGATATATAAATAAGTAGGATATGATTCAAATATGATCTGTTTTCCCAACTTGTCTGAAAGAATCAATGATACAAGCATTTTTTATATAACTGTTCTAGTTATAGCTGTTGACAAATATTAACTGGAATAATAGCAAAAAAAAAAAAAAAGTTTTTTTAATATTAATTTAGAATGTTTACCCCACGTCTTGCCAGATGGCTGCTGGAGTCGTTTCCATTCAAATGACTGCTGGAGGTAAGCAACACCCCTCTCACCAATGCGGCATCTTTTACTATCAGCTAACCTGAAATAAATCCCTTCAGAAGTCACCAAATAAGTGAAGAAAGTCCATCCCTGTGTCTAACTGTTCTGTTAAGGTGTGTTAGAGAACATTAGAGAACACACAAGATCATGAAGACCAAAAAATGCAGGTGAGGTTTACAGTAATGAAGATGCAATAGGTTTTAAAATCAGCCTTAGGTCATAAAAACTACAGTGGTCACCAGCTGCAATAGCAGAGCAATCAGTAAAACGAGCTGAGAACACATGAATGATGCAACAAAGAAGAAAACTGCAAGTAAAAATGTTGCAATCACAGAAAAAGTCATAGTCATAAAGTAGGATAATAATCTAAAGCACAATAGTAAATCCATGAGAATATGGCTTAAAATAAGGATGAAATAAAGTTGTTGGAATGGACCAATAGAAGTCCACACCTCAACTTGATTGAAATGGTGAATAGTGAAAGAGAGATACAAAGAAATAGATTGCCTGAAAACCATAAGGTTTGAATTAATGTTTTTCTTTTCACTGTACATAAAGTCTTTAAAAAATGGTAAAAATATCCATTGCAGGAACCTACTGTAGCTGGTGGAAAAGACTTCATAACCTCAGCTGTCTATAAGAGACTCTACTTTTCACAAGGTCAAACACTGATGCTTAGTCATAAATATTTACACAAATGCATCAAATCTTTCCCTAATAATTTTGTACTTATATTTTATAGGACACAACTACCAGTGACAGATCAGCGATATGCCATTTCAACTACTGTAAAATCAGCCTTCCAGCGAAAGCATCTGGCCTGGATCTCAAATAGGCTTTCTTATCTGATGAATCTGCTGCATGCACCAACTAACTGAACATCTTTGGATAAAATGTCTTGAAATGGAGAATAAGGCATTAAAGATGATGAATGAACTGACAGTCGCTACAGGAAGCGAGTACTTCATATTTTTTCTTATCATTAGATTTTGTCATCCTCAAAATAAGTCATTCCTAAACGTAAAAAAAAAAAAAAAATCCTCATAAGTCACAATTCTGCATAGGATTTTTACATCGGCTGCAAGTGGACACTTATTTACTCACCGATTATGTGCTTGAAACAGGCTAAAGGAAAAAGTGTCAGGATCTGAGTAAGTTTGGCAAGGTCTAAATTGTGAAAATTCAACAAGTGGGTCTCAGCACATCAATCAAAATGAAGGAATGGACATCAACCAGTGACCAACACAATGTTAAAGAGGTGGTCATAATGATATGCCCACTTGGTGTGCCTCAATTTTACTTTGGTCAGAAGTTGGGGGACAGCTGGATAAAACTCTGACAAGAAGAAAATTCTTAAATTAGCCAAAACTGGACAAAAATACCAAACCTGGTAGTGAAAGCCAAGCAACTTTCTGTCAAACACCTAATCGAATTGTGGGCAACTACTTCATAACCCACATTAAATTGGCATCTGGTCAGTGCATAATTCGCCACACTATAATACATCAGATAGACAGAAGCTGGAATTTAGGGATGAATTTATGCTCTTAATCAGCACAGAGAGGTGGGCTCAGCCCCCTGGCAAAGGAAGCTATCATCTGTCCAAGGAAGGGGCCTTAATGAGCAAGACAAAAAGTTTTAATCATGCTAAACATCTGCTGTACGGTGAAGCTTCTCAGAGTGCCACAGAAAGATTATGAGATTTATATAGCAGCAGTCCGCTCTCCTGCTTCCTGTTTGTTGGTATCAGTCCAAATGGGACAGAGCGAAATAGTGAAAGAGAACCAGAAAGAGGCTACGTTGTCCCATGCTTTGACAGATGTCCCAGTGTTGGACAGATAAATCTTCTTTACTGGCAGTCACTGTTTGGTTGCACCCAAGAACAGCCGGTACGTATCTCTTTCTATAATGAGTATCCATGAAAAGGTTATATACATGAAACGGAGAAATATATATATATATATATATATATATATATATATATATATATATATATATATATATATATATATATATATATATATATATATCTTCAACGCATGTGTTCCACTTTAGCATACCACATTTCTACCAAACAAAATACACATACAATCTGACAAAATATGCAAAAGTTCAATAGGTATGAACGCTTGTGCAGGACGCTGATTCTGTTGTCGAGTCGGAAACTGTGAAGATAAAAAATGAAGGCGTGTGCTAGAACATCCTCTCCGATGTTTGTACTGGTTTGAACATAATGAAGAAGCTGCATCCCGCTGATGGTGTGGAAGCAGCTGGAGGTAATAGCTGTTTAATGTCTGTTTTCTGCCATGCACCAATCTGTGTTTGACACCAAAGGTGTGTTTTTAAACAGTTTCAAGCAGACACAATTACTCTGCGTTAAATGAACTGTGGAGGTTTGCAATGAACTTAACTAGAGAAGACAAAAAAGGGAGGGGGCAGATGTCTGGCTCTTATTGGAAAGTCTAGCTCTGTGGGCCTAGAATTATATTTGAACTTACATTGTTTTTTATAGGAAAAGCTAAGGACAGGGAGGCATACTCAAAATGTTTCTGTTCATAGATTTCACACATTACATTTTTGTATTTCTCAGAGATCGACGACTAACTGTATCCGGGTCAAAATCTATATGTTTGTGTATATGATTATGAAGGTCATTTGTATGAACATGCAGGAAGTTTGTATCCTTGCGTGTACCTGTCTGTGTGATTGGACTGACGCCTGCAGGGCACAGTGTTGCGGACACATGTGCCGGTTCCCGGGTCCACGTTCTCGACCATGACAAAGGGATGCTCCTCGAGGGTGGCCACCGTCAGGTGGCGGTCATCAGATATGTGCTCCAGGAAGCTGCCGTACCGCGGCCAGATGGGATAGCGAACCTGAAGGATGCCGCGAGCAAACGTGCCCACCTGAAATGGTAAACGCGGGAGGGGAGGGAGACAGAGCTCATTGGTAACGCGAACATTCCAGTTCGCATCTGAAACGACCTTCATGTCAACCTTTTTCTATTTCACATGCCATTCCCCACAGGCATGGGTGAATTTATTAAATTATTTAACAGCATTTGCATGTGCTGACCTGGGGACTGGAACATAAAAGGAGAGTAGAGTCGAGTTTATTAACAGATTCTGCACAAAGGAAGTGACAAACACCTACAGCTACAGCACCACATTTATAATATAGCTCATTATGAGTTGTCTTCGTTATGTGTTGATTTTTATTTTTTTTATTTTTTTTTTTACTAATACTTCAGTTAATAATCTTTCTGATTAATTAAAAGTTATACTTCATTTATGTGGACAGTTCCAGTGACAATGTCTGAGATCAAACGGCGCCATTGGACGGAAACATACCAGACAGATACAATTCTGGAGAAGTTTGAAGAAAATTTAAGTTGTGAAAAAAATATTTCAAGGAGTACTTTTCACACCTTCATTAAATAACGAAGCAAATAGTAAATATGCAAATCCACCGAGATGTGGCAGGGCATTTAAGATTGTGATTATAATGAAAGAAAACATGTTGAAAGTTAAAGGGATGCTCAATACCTAGAATGTAAGTGTAGAGCAAATAAGATCAAACAATAAAAACAAAATGAAGATCATTTCTACTGAAGAAACAAATATGATTTTGCCAATACAAATTGTCCCTTAAAAGCACCAAACAGATATTAAAAATAATCTGCAACAACTTAAACAGCCGTGTAGTCACAGTTGAGGTAAAAAAGCTTCAAAAGAGCACTGTGACATGTTATTATAACAGACAAGGTGCACAATGTGACGGAGAGAGGTAGGATAGAGTATCAGAAAGTGATGAGATGAGACCAATTTCCAACTTAACATGAGGCCTGTTTTGTTGCCTGCCAACTTTGACTCTCATGGGAACATGAAGACACAACGTGACCCGAGATCATTTGAGAGTTTTGCACATTTACAGCACAATTACACATCCAGGTTTGTACACACATTAAAACATACAGTTCTGCCAGGAAGTGACATTGACAAAGTGGGTTAGTCTTCCCAGGACAGAAATAAATGAGTTCAACCGCAGCAGTGAGATTACATTCAGACCTTTCTGGTTAGTCGCAGTTTTTCCAATACACCCTCAGGCTCCAACCGTGTGTGTGTGTGTGTGCTGCAGTGTGTGAAAGGGAGTAAAAACACTGTAGAGTGCATGGTAAGGTTGTGAATAACAAGAAAGAGATGTCTCCTCCGCAAATCAAAAAGGCATTTGAATATTGAATTTTGTGTCCTCTTAAAGACACAAGTGCACCGCAATGAATTAGAAATTTAGTTTAAAATGTCAGGAATTCAATTAAAAACACGTCAGTGTTCTGTAGTTTAAGCACTCATACTTGGTTGTGGTTATTTTTTCACTATTCTGTGAATCTATAATCTCTTAAATGGACTTTTTAACCTATTGAAGGGTCTCCAGGGTTTGTTGCCTGTCCAGCATGTTAACAGGGGTTTTACACTCTACTGAGTGACACTCAACCCATTGTATGAGTTCTACTGTTATAATTCAATGACTGAAAATTAAATTAAAGGGAAAGACATTTTTTTCAATCTATCTCTCCAAATTCTCTAGATGAATTAGAAAATAAATTTGGAGACTCTATCTTTGCTTTAATTGATGTTCCAAATGACTGACATTAAAAGGTTTTAGAGCTCAAAGCATCGTGATGAGGGAAGCGTGCTATACTTTAAGCAAGGGTGTGTGTTTGTATTGCAAAGTCTGTATTTTATTTGCTAAAGCTGAGGCTGGTTTTTAACATTTTTAAACCTGTAGGTAAAATAATTTAGAAAATGTTTTCAGTAGTAGCTGGATTACAGACAGGCACAGGCATCAGCAAGCAGAAACATGGACAAAGAGATGCTCTCAGGGCCATATGGCTCAGGGTGATGGCACATCTATATTTAGCCTTTTATATTCTGTAATAACAATAAAATGAATCTAATTTGAAATTGCTCCCTAAAAGGAGTTTTTTTTTTTTTTTTTTCACTTGCATCTAATTTGAACATTAAAGTAAAAAATAAAATTCTGTAATGTTGGGGAATGCAAATATCAATTTCTTGCACAACAGTTATATATATCTGATGCAGATTTTTATTATGCACCAACACCATGGAGAACAAGGTTCTTAAATCTGAATTTTGGTGCCACAGAACAGACAAGTTTTCATTAAACTTTCTTGTAGACTGTTTACCTTGTCCCACAGTCTCTCCCGGTCCAAAGCAATGATGACCATAGAAGGGTTGGATAGAAAGCCTTGATTGTTGAATGACAGGTCTTTTTGTTCCCACGTTACATTCAGCATGTGCCTACATGTCCAACAGAGATAAAAGCACAAAAAGTAAGCAATCAAAGGGCGTAGCTTTAGCATTCCACGCACTGGATGTTCCATATTCATTTAAACCAACACACACTCACAACAACCTGATTCTAATCAAGCCTAAAGCTTTCCTCAGAGGGTTTAATTTAATGTCTTGGACGGGAAGCAGCTCATCTTAGTTGATTGGTTGAATGTCAGGATGATGCTACTAAATGGTCTTGATACTTTTTAAGGTCTAATTCCAGGACAGACTGAGTTTTGAACAATTAATCCGCAGGCTGATTTAAAATTTACAACAAATGTAAAAGAGGTACAAACAATGTCTTTTCAACAACATTTACTCCACGCCATGCTCTGAGGATTTCATAAACTGTCCTCATCTGCAAACATGGAGGCAACAATCACTGCTTAGCGGAGCGGAAGGAGATCTCTAATGAGATCTGATGTTCAGAACACCACAATGTTTTGTTTGAATGAAAACTGTCCCAGGATGTGTGATCCAGTTGCTCTCAGCATGTGTATTCATGTGATGAAGTGACTGCATGTTGTTATTATGGCTACTATTACACACAGTGTGTGCATGACGTTGACTATTTACCTATTAATTTGCCCCTGCGGTTTGCTATTTCCTCTTTTCTTCCCTTCATTTTGTTCTCATAAACCAACCAGTTTCACATATTCACTTAAAATTGTATTTTTTTAAGTAAAACAGTTATTTTTCTTAGTAGTTAAGCATTTTTTAATATAACTTAAGAGATGGGTATGGAAAAACCTGCCCAATCTCACATGTAATTTAAGTTATTCGCATATTATTTTCCATGACACCAAATTTTCATTCATTTTGGTTCTGATTGGCCAGAACCAGTCTACTAATAAGGCCGTGTTTAGAGTGGCTGTAATACAAGCAGTTGTCTGGAAATCAGGAGATTTGGAGTGGATTCCAACTTTCCACAACATGTTGATGGCACTCAACCCATCAGATCTGTTGCCCCTTGATCTGTGTATAAATGAGTGAGGAACGTAAGCATGGCTGAGTGACTGTGACTCAATGTGTGAAAGTGCTCTTATGGGTCTGTCAAAAAATTTACTGGTAAAATACATTTACCTGTAATAGACACTTTTAAAGTCTCCAGTTGTTAACGCAAGTACAAAATTCCCCCCAGACTGGTACGAATAAACGTACCCCAATACACGGATACATGATACTTTTTGCCTCAATTAAAAAAAACCCAGAAAACTGCAGATTCAATCTACTGATTGAAGTGCCTTTAAAAAAGCATTAAAAAGCTTGTCTGTGAAATTACCATTACAAAACACACAACCGTGGATTCTTAGATTTCTAATACTATTGCTGAAATCGTATATTATCTTGTTTCTAGAGCTCAAAACTGCAAAGACGTGAGTGAAATGCAGCACCAATGCTTCAATTTTGAATCTCTGTACTATCTATGTTTAAAATTTATTTTAAAGTATAAAAGGAAGTACTGTTTGCTTTGACAAAATGTACTTAAAGAGTCGCAGATGGGTAAAAACCCCTGTTGTTCTGACAGATTTAAAACATTTCTACAAAATCCTATTGAGTCCAAGTCCAAGTCAAGCGGTGAATCACAGTCAAATTTGTGACTGACAGTCGTTTAATCTAAACTTGGTCTGTCAGACAGCCATGGAGAGAAAAAGTACATTTATCTGTATCTGACTATTTTGTGCTATATTTTCTGCTTCTGTTTTACTCACTGTTTATCACGTATAACGAATCAGAAAATGTACTCAAACTTTCACTTTTCAAGAAAAGGCTGCTAGTGACTGTTTATCGGTAAAACATAATTGTAATCTCTTTAAATGTGTATAGAGGTATCACAAGACAAAGGCCAGTAAGAATCCACCATTTATGCAAAGTAATCACAGACTGGACACAAGCAATTTGTGAGCGCTGTGAGAATACAGCAGCTCAGCAGGTAACAATGCTGCAGCCTGAATCTACTTTGGAGCTTCCCATCGGCACCCAATTAAAGGGCAATTTCAAGGTTTTATTCAAATGGATCTGGGCTGCATTTGATCATCTTTTGTTAAAAAAAAATAACATAATTAAACAAGTCAAACTCGAAGGGTCATATAAGTGGCTCTGTATATAATAACTATGACCGGTATTCTTTTTGTATCTTGGCTCAATAGTTTTGGTCTGTACTGTGACTTTTTTGGGCAAATTTGAGCATCATTTTATATCATGGCGCAAACTTAACAATATTTATATCATCCAATGTAAGACAAAGGAAGAGGTGATTAAAAAGCCATGCTGTTAAAAAAAAAAAAATAAGAAGTGATGAATTAAACATGCCCCACCTGAACAGGGTGTTGTTCTCTGACTGTTTTGCTGGTTTACTGCAATCTCCATGCCCTTCAGGAATGAAACCATAATGCTTCTTGAAACTCTCTGCCCCTTTGGCTACGATGGCGACGCCCTCCCTTACTCTCTGCCGCAAGCTTTTCCTCCACTGGTCCGTGATCACACCGATCACACCTACAGGGAAAGTGGCAGGTGGAGGGCTGTTGGGGTTGCCTACGGCAAGACTGGGGAGGATCCAGATGTAGCCGGGCCCCAGCAGACCCAACTCGCCTGCTAGACGAAACAGGTACTGAGCTTCCTCGTGGGAGCAGTATGCCAACAGGACCTGCGAGTCCAACTGCAAAAAGACGAGAAATCTGCTGTTTATTAAATATGCAGGATGCGGTATCAGATTTATGAACTTCTTCTGGTTCTGTCAAGTCAGTAATATCGCAGTGTTCTGGATGTTTTAACAAATGGACAATTCAGGTTTTGAAATATAAAACCTATAAATGTTTCCCTTTACTACATGATACAATATCCAAAGGGTTTTTGGATTTTACAGAGATCTGACACTTAAAGAGAAGGAAAGAGAAAATCCTCTAATTTTCACTACAAACTTAGTTCTAACAATTATATCATGTGAGCTGCTTTTGTATTGATCAAGTCCTGATTTTATTTACAAAAGAGCTTTGGACTTTGTTTTTTGGGAAGAATAATTGATTTC